ATGCTCCAGATATGGATGCTGTTCTTTTGCTTATTCAGATTTTCTCTTCAGAGATAGCTTAGAGATGCTCCAGGCATGGATGCTATTCTTCTGCTTATTCAAGAGTTTCTTTTCGGAGATAGCTTGGAAATGCTCCAGATATGGATGCTATTCTTTTGCTTATTCAAAGTTTCTTCTCAGAGATAGTTCAGATATGCTCCCGAACCGGATGCTATTCTGTTGCTTATTCAGAGTTACTTATTCAGAGATAGCTGGGAAATGCTCCAGATATGGATGCTATTCTTTTGCTTATTCAAAGTTTCTTCTCAGAGATAGTTCAGATATGCTCCAGAACCGGATGCTATTATGTTGCTTATTCAGAGTTGCTTATTCAGAAATAGCTTGGAAATGCTCCAGACATGGATGCTATTCTTTTGCTTATTCAAAGTTTCTTCCAGAAATGGCTTAGAGATGCTCCTGACCTGGATGCTATTCTATCGCTTATTCAGAGTTTCTTCCCAGAAATGGCTTGGAAATGCTCCAGACATGGACGCTATTCTTTTGCTTATTCATAGTTTCCTTTCAGAGATAGCTTGGAAATGCTCCAGACATGGACGCTATTCTTTTGCTTATTCAGAGTTTATTGTCAGAGATGGCTTAGAGATACTCCAGATCCGGATGTTATTCTTTTGCCTATTCAGATTTCTCTCCAGAGATGGCCTAGAGATGCTCCAGATCTCGACGCTATTCTACTGCTTATTCAGATTCAAACTTCTAAAGACAACTTAGAGATGCTCCAGACCCGGAGGCTATTCTATTGTTTAGTCCAGATTCATTCAAAAGACATTCCAAATACGATCCAGATTCGGATAATATTCTGTCACTCATTCAGATGCAGTATGGATATACCCCAGACACGGCAGTCATTCTACTACTCGTTCAGACGTCAGCAATTAGACACAGACTAGATATGCTCCAGACACGGAAGCTATTCTATTTCTTACTCAGATTCAACCATCCCTTGCATTTCTAAATGGCATCTATAAGCCCATTCCCGACAAGGGTCTGTCACATCCAGATGGCATCTATAAGCCCATCCACCTACCAACAGTCTCCAAATGGCATCTATAAGCCCATTCCCGACAAGATTGTGTTACATCTCCAGATGGAATCTATAAGCCCATCCTCTTATCCACCACATCTCCAAATGGCATCTATAAGCCCATTCCCGCCATCACATTGCTGATACTACACCATGCGAGTGCAAATTTCTGGGCACTCTAGTGTCCAATCATCTTCCACCTTCGGATCACGAAAGGCACGCAAGCCAATCTACATCCTCAGGTTTAAGAAGATTGAACAGGGGCAACTGTTGTACCCCAAAATTTGCCCTCCCATATTTCTCAAGACATGTCAAGAATCATCTCCAAGTTGTTCAAGATGGCTCAAGAGTTGGACAGTCAAATCATCTCCTAAGGCAGTCAATTCAAAATTAGGGTTTTGTGTTGCATCAAGGTCCTTACATCCAAACGACCTCAAGTGCTCCTTAATGTCCTAACGTATGTTCAAATTCAGAAGGTATCTGAATGTGTGAGTTTTCTTGAAGAAATATGGTGAAAAAGTGTGCTGAAAGTGCAGTTTTTACGCGCTAAAAAATTCATAACTTGAAGATCGTGACTCGTTTTGAACCCGTTCTGGTGGCCAAAATTCCGTCTTGACATTATCTACGTTTTCATCTCTCACAGATGGAAGCCAATTTCGATCAGAAGGTCTTCAAAAATGTGGATTTATCAAGTATTTTCGTACAGAAAATTTGTGACAGAAGTTTATTTGCGTCATGTTCAGAAAATCATAACTTGGTCGATTTTCATCGTATTGAGCTGGTTCCGGCGCCAAAATTTCAAAAATTGAGTTGGATACATTTTCACAGAAGGTATTGAGTTCAAACGGTATTCAAAAGGCCTTCGTTTTTTGCTCAGAGTGCATGACACGCCAAAAATCCTGAATGCTAAATATTATTTCATCTGGGCTGAAACTTCGAAAATTCATAACTCGGTCAATTTTTATCGGATTGGACTCATATTTTTACACAAGGTTACTGACTCATAGATCTACAACTTTGCTTCAAAAGTAGAGACCAAATTATGCACCGATCAATACCAGTTTTTTATTAAAGAACGTGTCAGAGTCGACACTGGAGCCCAAAATAAGTTTGTCTGAGCTGAAACTTCAAAAATTCATAACTAATTCACCATATATCCGATTGAGCCGATTTTCGGACAGGAGTTATTTCTCGATATAGGCTACATTTTGTTTTCACATTTCAACTTCAAAAATTGCACTTAAGTCCCTGCGATTTAGCCTGGAAAGTGACGAACTCAAGTGAACATTGGAGGCCCAATTGCACATTCAGAGCCCATTTTCTTTACTCTAATTTCCATTATATAATCACCTTCTTTTCACACAAACGAGGGAGGAGAAAAAAGAGGAAGAAAAAAACCTTGCCACAATGCTATCAGAATATCAAATTCTTTCAAGAACCCTAAAATCTTGAAATCCTCATTACAAATCTCTCTCTCACTACAAACAAGCCATCCTAGTTACAAACCAACATCTCACTACAAACAAGCCATCTCAGTTACAAACCAACATCTCACTACTTCTTCAGTAAGGGTAAGGTTGGCTTGATCTCCATGATCAAAAGGGCATAAAAGCATTCATGTCACTACTTTTCCAGTAAGGGTAAGATTGATTTGATCTCCATGATCAAAAGGGTATAATCATTCATACATGCCATATTGTGCCTAAACATTAAATTTCTTCATATATTGGCTTTATTTGCATTTTATGATTTTTAATGTGTTCATGAGATTCAACACTGCAGATTTTAGACATGACCCCATGCAGGTTCATTAAGGAACGTTGAGGTCAAAACACAAATGGCCAAAAGCCAAAAGCCAAATGGCCAAAACAGAACAGCTTACACATGACACCAATACATGGCGAGACAGTCATCCTGAGAAGGTTAAGGAACATTGAGGCCATAACACAAATGGCCAAAAGCCAAAACACAAATGGCCAAAAGCCAAAAGCCAAATGGCCAAAACAAAACAGTTTACACATGATGCCAACAGCTGTTTCACCCCTCCAATCAGGCTCGTATACTCCTAAACTTTCTCTCTATTTGTATTATGTTCCTTTAATTAATTAATCGTTATTATTTTTATTAATCACTAACCAATTAACATTTTTTCCTAATAAAATCAAAAACACAAAAAAAAATATTTTATTTATTAAAATTAAATTCAGCACTTTATTTTTGTAAATAAATATTAATTCAATTAATTTAGTTTAATTAGGAAATAACTTTAATATTTTTTGCAATAATTAAAATTAATTTAGACGATTAGGTTTTTATTAACTTTGATCAAATTTATTTTTATTTCCTTAAATATCAAAAACTCCAAAAATATTTTAATTAATTAATTAGTTTATTAATTTAATTGGTAACTTAACTTAATTTCTTTTAATCCAAAAATAATCAAAAAAACCACTTTCTTTCAAAAAAAAGGGTCAAAACCCAAAAAACTCGCATCCGATTTAATTTCTCACACGCGATCCATTTTATCATATTATTGTATATGTTTCCCGGAATGTAATAGCTTTTAATTAGGACTTTAATTATTTACCGCTTTATTTTACTTTCCGCAATTTAAATTAAAGGGTTTGTTTTTGGCGATGTAAATACCCGACGCCTTGTAATAGCGTAGATTCACTTTCCGCAATTTATTTCCCACAAATTATTTAACTGTTAATTATGCCTGCAAGACTGTATGCCAAATAAAATTAATCCGTAGCTCACGAATGCATGATCAAAGATAAACATTAACTGAAAAACAACACACAAACACATGCCACTCCTATGGTACGCCTCACTCGGTTGCCTCGAACGTGGTCGTCAAGTATAGGTTGTTTTAGAGGTCGCCCTCTTGTCTAAGATCCAGTTGCCTCGAAACGGTTGCCTCGGATAAAAGGATCTAGGATATTAGGGTTACTTCTAAGGCGTCCTACTATTGCTTCGGTGACCACATTGTCCCTAATAATCGAATTGACCCGAATAACTCCAACGATGGTGCTACCTACCTCTCAATGGTGGGATAGCACTATCTAAAGGACTCTTACATAGCCTAATTCCTTAGAGTAGGTAGATTCTTATGGGTACTTGCTCTCTCAAAAACAAACAAAATACTTTTCACACCTACACTTTCTAAAAGTTTTCAAACAAATTTTTCATACACTCTTGAGGACAGATACAAGAGTTACTTAGAAATTTTTCAAACGAAACTTTTTTTTCAAAACCCACACACACTTGAAAAGCAAACAAATTTTTGAAAACATAAGAGCAAGTACCTAAGAGCCCGTGGATAACCACGGATAGAAAGGGTGCTAACACCTTCCCTTTCTATAAATCCACCTCCCGAACCGAGAGACATCTCAAAGAAGGAATTTTGCTGTGCTTTTGTCCTTTCCATGTTGGAGAACATAAAAGACGGTGGCGACTCTTGCTTACTGTGACATTTCACGAACCAGCTTAAAAAACAGTCAGTTATATTTCCACCGATCACACTATTAATTCAATTTTAATTAAATTTTAGTAAAAAAAGAAAATAAGCAAACAAGAATTAAAATGGGATTAGGGTTCAATCTGTAGTGACCCTCCCTCTTCACGATGAACATGGAACTTCTTCTCTTCTTCTCTAGACACAAACGACGATACTAATCCGTTAACTCCAACCCTCCGTCCCAATTTTGTTCACCTCTCCATCCTACTTCACCCTCACCATTGTTTAACCTCATCTTCTCCAATTCGTACACCGACGAAGAGCTACCTCTGTAATGCTACGATGAGTTCTGTCTTGTCTCCGCTCTCATCTGCTTCCGCTTCGTCTTCCTTCATCTCTAAATGTTCCACATCTCAACAAAGAAAACTTAAAAATACTAAGCTTTAGAGGTGAAATCAGATGCGGACGTTTGTAGCTTCAGATCCTAATTATATCGTCCTCTACACGCTTACAAAAGAGAAAGAGAAAGAGAGGAAGAATCGTGACTTACCGACTGGAGTACCACCGGTGGTTCTTCAAACCGATAAAATCATTGAGAAAATCGAGAATATTCAGGTATCTTTGCTCTTTCTTCCTCTTCTATTCCTTCTGCTTTTTTCGGTTTTGCATTGATGTTACATTCTTGTTGTTTAAGAATGTTGTGTGATGAAGACTGAGGGACGAAGACACGGTTTCAAATTGTTCTTGTTGATAAAGTGTTTTTGTTGAAGCAAAGGATGAGAAAGCTTGTGTGATGAAGATAAATGTGAAACAACATATTTACGGTGTTGATGTGAAGAAGATGATGTTGTGATTTGTTGAAGTATTTGGTTATGTTGATGGAGAGGCGAGGAAGATGATGAAGTGCAGTAGTTGTTGCGGATGAAGGGAGAAGAGAAGGTGCAGAGGTTCGGAAAATGGATGAAGATGGAAGTGAAAGGGATGAAGATTGCAAAGTGTGATGAAGAAGATTCAGTTTGAAGGTGTGCGATGAAGAGAGAGTTTTTATGATTCTTTCCAGAATTGAAGAATGATGAAGATGAAGATGGAGATATTTTTTGGTTTTCTGTTGAAGGTTGAAGTGTGGAAGAGAGAGTGAACCTTTAAGATGGAATCTCTCCGAGATCAATGAAAGGTGAGTCTTTTCTGTAACCTCCCTCCATCCTGTTACCTAACTGTTTTTTTATTCTGTTTCCAATCTGTTAGCCTCCCCAATTCTGTTACCAAAACTATTAGCCATTCTGTTACAAAGTTGTTAGCCATTCTGTTACAAAGTTATTAGCCATTCTGTTATGAATCTTTCCCTCCTCCTTAATTCTGTTAGAATCTTCCTCCACATTTCCAGAATCTGTTAGGGATCAATCTCCTCAGCCCTTGGATTAAAAATCAGTTTATAGAATCAGTGGTTAGCCTTTGTTCTCAAATTCCCTCAAGAAGTTAGAAAATTCTATTAGAAATACATTTAGGATGATGTTAGTTAGTTAGTGAATTGGTTAGGGTCTGTGAGGTCTTTTTTTGACACTCTGTTAGGCTAGGATATTCTTCTTATTTTCCTGACTTTTGGTTGAACCAGTATATTGAGCCTTTAGTATATTCTTCTGACTTTTCCTCGCATTTTTTGAATTGTGCTAGTGATCTCACATGACTGTTAACTTTCTGATATACAAGGCTGCTGAGCTTTTCTTTCATTGAACTACCACACACCCCAAAACTGTTACGAATTGGTCCTCTGATCGTAAACTAATTCCCTCTGATTGTTGTTTGTGAACTTGATGCAGGGACCTGTTTTGTGCTTGGATTAGAGTAGTGAAAATTTACTTGGACTCATATATTTTTCTTTGGCATAATGATATGGACTTATCCTTCTTAATGGTGATATTTATACAGGTTTTAAGGGGAACAACTTTAGCAAGGCAGCTCAACATGATCTTGGTGCAAGCTTTTTATGAACACTGGGATTTGGCTAAGGAAAGCAAGGGACAGGCTACAAATTTAAGACTTAGGAATTACAAGTTTATTTTTCTTTGTATCATGTAAAGAGAGTTATTTAGATAGTTGACTGTAGTTTGAAACAGTTATGAACAAAATTTGGTTACAAATTCTATTCTCTTCACATCTAAATCCCTACATCTTTTTTCATTTTCAAATTGTGAATCTTGTATGAAACTTTCGAGAGTAACTTATAATTTCACTTTAAAATAATAAATTTCCTTTTCCAACTTTGCAAGCATTAAACGCTTCTGATTCATTTGAGCACCTTTAAGCGACTTGAACGAACAAACAATGAATCCAAATTTCTCCATTTCTTGAATAAACTCAAGCGACCATGTTCTTGCGTTTCAGGAACAAAATGTCTTAATCAGAATAAATCCACATGCTCATCTCGAACCCTTGTACTCATACTTTAATCTAAAATGACAAAAACATGTCTTGAATATTAGAGGATGAATGGTACTTGGAGCATAGAAAAGGAACATATGACCATGAAAACCCTAATTTCATTGATCCTTAATCTTCAATTGGGTCAAAAATTCAAGAAGAAGTCTCATCACGTCTAAAAGGTTGATGGAATTCAAATCCATAACTGAATAATAAAGGACATCTTGCCTTGGTGAAAGCCTCATTCATTCCTTAACCATTTAACAAATAGAATTAAAAGAACTAAGCCCTTGACTAAATCTTCTGAACTTCTTGAGAGGAATGTCTTGAGATATAACGATTAGGATAAACCCTAATTGATGATGATGATGAATTCGCAATAAGGGAAAAGTAGTGCTCAATGTAGCCTTGAAGTGAGACTTTAACTCAATAAACCTCCATGGAAGAATCACCACCAAGCTCAAACAAAATGAAGAGAAATCCTGATTCTCTGGCTGAGTTAGGCTCTAATGCCTTTGTTCCTTGAACGAACCTCGATGAAGAAAAATTTGTATCTTGAGGAAACCTGATAGCAAAGACATTTATGCTGCTTGAGATACAAAACCCTAATCTCATACCAAGAAAAAATGAGAGTGCCAGTTGAATAAATTTTGAGTAAGACGATAGCCTCAATTGAGAGAGAGAAACCGTAATGCCAAAGCTCTTCAATCTTATAGCCATGAGATCAATGCTATGTGTGAAATGTATAAAGTATGATGAGGGATCTTAGGGGCAAAAATTGTGGTATAACAGTTACCCTTATTTAAGTGTCTTCTATCCAGAGATACGAAGATTAAAATCTTCGTTTCGACGTGATTGAAGATACTTAAATATAAAACAAGCCCTATTTTTGACCCTAAGATACCATGTGATGCTTATGATTATGGATGTAACGTATGAATTTCATGCAGATGGGCAAGACACACACTGGAGAAGCAAAAGTAGAATCTACAAATTTACAAAAAGAATTCAATCAGGATACTAAATCTCTGGAGAACAACACGACTCCTGGGATAGAAATTTAGATCTACTGGAGATGAATTGGCTCTACTGGGGAGAAGAAAACTCAACCTTACTGGGGTAAGATCCAGAGAGGAGACAAAATACCATAGACTCAAAAACTGAGGGAAAAGTAATGGATGACAACAATTAACCGATAGCTATGAACTATCCCCTCATAGAAGAGATAACAAAAAGAGAGTAACATCAACACAGGGGATCGACAACCGCTAATCAGAAAAGATCAATCTTACCTAAGAATAGTAATGAACTACCCACTCAAGAATGAAGGTAGAAAAAAAAACATAGGACAATATTGACTTTTATTGAAGGTAAAGAAACAGAAGATACACCGATGTTTACTGAAGGTGGAGAAAATAGAATGCACCAGCTTTTACTGAAGGTGATGTCTCAAAGAGCAATAATGAACTTCCCAAAATCCTGGCGTTCTTCGTAGAACAAGTAAAAAATGCAAGCTATCTCAAATAAAGAGACTACCACTTGTAAAGATTTCACAACAAACTTCTCTTATGAAACTTCCTCGAAGAGATACCATTTGATGGAGAATTAGATAAACTTCCCCTCGATCCTGACTATAAGCCACGAACCAGTCTCAGTTTCTTCTTTAACCAAGATGTTTCACCTAGAAAGGGTGAAAATACAAGCTATCTTAAATAAAGAGACTACCACTTGTAAATATTTCTCAACAAACTTATCTTGCAAAGCTTTCTCGAAGAGATACCATTTGATGGAGAATCAGATAAACTTCCCCTCGATCATGACTATAAGCCACGAGTCAGTCTCAGTTTCTTCTTTAACCAAGATGTTTCACCTGGAAAGGGTAAAAATACAAGCTATCTCAAATAAGGAGACTACCACTTGTAAAGATTTCTCAACAAACTTCTCTTGCCAAACTTCCTTGAAGAGATACCATTTAATGGAGAATCAGATAAACTTTCCCTCTATCCTGACTATAAGCCACGAACCGGTCTCAGTTTCTTCTTTAACCAAGATATTTCACCTGGGAAGGGTAAAAATACAACCTATCTCAAATAAAGAGACTACCACTTGTAAATATTTCTCAACAAACTTCTCTTACGAAACTTCCTCGAAGAGATACCATTTGATGGAGAATCAGATAAACTTTCCCTCTATCCTGACTATAAGCCACAAACCGGTCTCAGTTTCTTCTTTAACCAAGATATTTCACCTGAAAAGGGTAAAAATACAAGCTATCTCAAATAAAGAGACTACCACTTGTAAATATTTCTCAACAAACTTCTCTTGCGAAACTTCCTCGAAGAGATACCATTTGATGGAGAATCAGATAAACTTTCCCTCTATCTTGACTATAAGCCACGAACTGGTCTCAGATTCTTCTTTAACCAATATATTTCACCTGGAAAAGGTAAAAATACAAGCTATCTCAAATAAAGAGACTACCACTTGTAAAGATTTCTCAACAAACTTCTCTTGTGAAACTTCCTCGAAGAGATACCATTTAATAGAGAATCATATAAACTTCCCCTCGATCCTGACTATAAGCCACAAACCGGTCTTAGTTTCTTCTTTAACCAAGATATTTCACCTGGAAAGGGTAAAACACTGTTGTAGGAATCTTTCAACGAACTATCTTTATCATTGAAGTACAACCAAACTTAACAACGAACTATCTCCCATAATGACGAGACTACCATTCATTGGAGTAACAAATTTCAGCAACGAACTACCTTCCGTAATGACAATGCTACCATTCATTGGAAAAACAATCTTCATCAACGAACTATCTCCCATAATGACGAGACTACCATTCATTGAAAGTAACAAATTTTCATCAACGAACTACCTTCCATAATGACAAGGCTACCATTCATTGGAATAACAAATTTCAGCAACGAACTACCTTCCATAATGACAAGGCTACCGTTCATTGGAGAAACAAATTTCAGCAACGAACTACCTTCCATAATGACAAGGCTACCATTCATTGGAGAAACAATCTTCATCAATGAACTATCTCCCATAATGACGAGACTACCATTCATTGGAATAACAAAGTTCAGCAACGAACTACCTTCCATAATGACAAGGCTACCATTCATTGGAGAAACAATCTTCATCAACGAACTATCTCTCATAATAAAGAGACTACCATTCATTGGAATATCAAATTTTCATCAACGAACTACCTTCCATAATGACAAGGCTACCATTCATTGGAATAAAAAACATCTTCTTGCATTAACAGACTTACTGGGAAGAACAGGTTTCTCAAATAGAGAGAATCGTTGCTTGCTGTCTTAAGAAGGAATTGTAATAAGACTAGCGAGAAATGAAGCTTGATTTCCTAGGGAAATACCAATACATTCCTGTTGGGGAGAAAAAAGTCTTTTCATGCAAAATAAATGCACATTCTCAAATCAAGGCTCGAAGCCTGCAGAAATCAGAATAATAATGTTGTTGGGGACTACAGACTCAAACCAGAAATAAACTGGAATGAAATAATCAACCAAGTTAGCACCCGATGAGAAATAAACTCAAAAGGGGATCACATTCCATCCAGATAATGAACTGAATGGGAAGGCTGAAGCAAAAATCTTCCACGAGGGATAACTCAGTGGGGGGAATTGAAAGGATATACACTTTCTGTTTAAAGTTGACAACTCTATTGGAGAGAGAGTAATATAACTTTGCAAAGAGGATAATATGCTGACGAAACATCAACGAATGAAAATGAGTGATGAATTTTAAATTCATCTATGCATGATGTGTATGAATGTATGGATGTTATCATGCGCATGCTGACAAAACAACCATAATTCACTGAGGATAACCATACAAATCTAATCTGGGGTGAAAACAACACTCGGCCAAGTCACATGCAGGATGGAGATTAGATTCCACGAGAGGGTAAGCATCAACAGAGGAAACAAAGTCCTATTTCACGGCTTAACTTCACTCGGAAGGTCATAGCTTGAAAACAATCAAAGAACCACCTGACAGGCAACAAATAAAGTTGCGGGAATATCATAAACTCTTCTATGTCTCACTGGGGAATACCAATACGGACTTCGATAAGGGAAGAGGAAGCTTCATTGTCTAGACTTTATTGGAGATTCCAAAACTAACTTCACTAGAGGAAGATGAAAACCATGTCGTCGAGACTTCAACTGGGGATGTCAATAAAGACTTTATCGGGGAAGATGCAAGACTACATTGTTGATACTTTAACTGGGAATTGTTATGCTAACTTCACTGGGGAAAAAGAAGCCACACACACCAAAGAGAGCCTGGATAAAGTCTTCAATATTAGGCATAATAGTTGTGCAAAATTCTATGGAGAGAGATCATGGAATTTCACGAGATGACAACTTTAGAGGGAAGCATCGCCCTTGACTCATGCGGAGAATTAAGGATTCGACAACACAGTAATGGGTCAGCTCATGGGGATTTTAAATCAAACTCACTGCACAGTGAGAGAAAACCCAATGAGTATACGCCTATCTCAAAACTTCTTAGAATGCATGTTGCCATTGTCTGGTTACTTAGAGGCACAGTACAACAACAATATCATAACCGGAGGGCATAATATCCTGCTAAAGATCCTACATTACTTCTCA